TGTCTGCAGTGAAAAGTGGATGCCAGCTCTCTTATTTTTTGCCAATTTAACTTCAAGATAGTTTCCACTCCAGTGAATGCTGTCCGTAAAACTAATTGGAGAACTCCACCTAGTGGAGACCAGCATGGAAACCAAGTCTAATTGAAACCGTCATCAGAAACAGAGGTGACAGCGAAGGAGAATTTTGGTTTTTCCCTCCAGAGAGTCATTTATGGTTTCCTTTCAGTCTGCTTTGTTCATGGAATAGATGCAAAGCCAGTACAGAACCCTCCTTTCAAGCAAGGTAGAAGTTAGAAAAACCTGATCAGTATAAAGGCACCCTACCTTGAAAATTTAAAAAGGGACCAAATGAAGTTACAAAGAATAAAGTCTGACAGTTAGAGCAAAGCTTTTAATTTTTGGAAACCTGTATTACTTGTTTGCCTTTTGCCCCACTCTATAAAAACAGCACCACATGGATCCCTCCAGCAACTTCTGCAATTACCGCACAGCGCTGCAAGGCGCGGCGCAGCGCTCGCAGACCGCCAACAGCAGCCGCGAGAAGATCGTCATCCCGGTCTTCAACCTCTTCATCAAGGACATCTACTTCCTGCACAAGATCCACACCAACCGCCTGCCCAATGGCCAGATCAACTTCAAGGTAGGCCTCTGCTGCTGCCCAAACTGCACTGCCACCTAAACCTGCTGCCCTGCAAGCGTTTGGCTTCCAGCTCGTTTTGTTACCATTCCCTCAGTGCCCACGTGAGCCACACCAAGAGGTGTCATATCCAGGGGAGTTGATTTGAATCAAATTCTGGGAAAGCCAGCAGTGGCTTTTCTGTAGCAGCAAGCCATCATATCTGATCAAATCTGATAGGTCACTTCAGCCCGAGTCATCAGCCTTAGCTGATTTCACCTCATCAGTTTTGCTGGCTCTAATGGTGATTATCAGGTCTGCAAGGGAGGTTCTACAGCCCCTGGGTTCTCTCTCTCCAGTTAATAAATATGCATGTCTGAGCAACCACACTCTGTCAGAAGTACTTCTTGACAAAATTTTTCGTCATTATTAAGCCTGTGTAAGTGGAGAATGCAGAACATACAAGGCAAAGCCTAAGTAATTACAGATTTCTTAAAATCCTAGGAAGGAAAGGATATCTAAATGTTTCTGTATGTTACTGTGATTTCCCAAATTTAACAAGTGTTTTATGAAAAGATCAGATATATCATATTTCATTTAAATTGAAGTTTGGAAATGTAAAAAGTAAAGCAAATAAAATATTTACTGTCCAGTTCCAGTCACAGGAATTTAGACACTCAACACAGAAAATAGACACTATTATATCAGAAGGGAAGGTTGATGATGAAATAAATTGAAGGCAAAAGATCAGATGGTGGGCTGAGATACACTGTTCTGAACTTGAGGCTGGCAGCATATGAGGAACTAGCAGCAAGAGGGGGAAATGAAAGGAGCCATAAGAAGAAAGGATAACAAGGAATCACAGAATATGCAGAATTGGAAGGGACCCACAGGGATCACCAAGCCCAACTCCCAGCCCTGCACAGCACCACCCCAAGAGTCACACCAGGTGCCTGAGAGCATTGTCCAAATGCTTCTTGAATTTTGCCAGGCTGATGCTGTGACCAATTCCATGTAAGTCTGAGTAAGGGACAATAAGAAAAGTAGCATAAAGAGTAAGACTGAGGGGCTCTGAAATAGAAATTAACTAATATTTCAAAGCAAATAAATATTTCTTTAATAATACTCTTTTAATTACTTCTTGCAGAAGTTCTGGGAAATTTCAAGACAGATTCATGATTTCCTGACATGGAAGCAGGTTGAGTGTCCTTTTGAAAAAGACAAGAAAATCCAGACTTATCTACTCACAGCACCTATTTATAGTGAAGAAGGTAAAATCGTTTGTTAAACATTATAGTGAATCTTCCTATGTGTTAAAATACAAGATATGCAGATGAAAAATATATACATGTAAAACTGTATTTTATTAGTAATTTTCTAAGTGTTATCACTTTCCTATTGGCTTTCCATGAAAATAAATTTCACAAGGAAGACTGCCAAGCTACATCTGCTATATTGTAACCCTTAGATGTTTTATCTCAGGTAAAGAACTCATGTATCTGATTGTTACTTTGTTTTTTTTTTTACCAGCTCTGTTTATTGCATCCTTTGAAAGTGAAGGTCCAGAAAACCACATGGAAAAAGACAGCTGGAAAACACTCAGGTATGAAGCTTCCTCAGAACATGAGTCTTTCTGCAGACATGCAGGGGCTTCATCAGCTTCTTCTGTCCTATTTGCATACCCAGCTTAAAACCATAATACAGTTCTTTTCCCTTAAAAATTTAAATCTGAAAAAATTTCAGTGGGGCTTGGATTTTGATACAGCTTTTCCAGCCAGATCTGTTGAGGCTGCAAGATCACTGCTGGGGCTGTGAAAGAGAGTATCTTTTGTTCAGGCTATCAAATACAGTAAAATAGTCTGCATTTGTAGTAGTGTTCAGACATGATTTTCTCAGGGGAACGAACCTATAGAGACACCAAGAAAGTGCTCTCATCACAGCCATGCTCTTACAAATCATATAAAAGGATGAAAATTTCTAGGAATACAGTAATTGTCATCCTATCCTAAGGGATAAAGTCTCAAAGACTCCTCCTCCTTCTGAGAATGGGAAGCACGACTCCTGTGCACATGATGAGATCAATTAATTAGAATTTTTCCAATACTGAGGCCAAGGCAGAGAGATTTGTCAGTCATGGTCAACATGAAGATCTAACATGTCTGTACCAGCCAGGGGATGAACACAGCCTGCATGCCCTGAGCTCTGTTGAGGCACATTAGGACTACATTGTCCTAGACAAGACCCAGTTTCCCACTGATCCCAGCCTTCCCTAGGATGCCCACTTGAGCTTTTCACTTACAGCCTCCATGCAATGCACCTTGCATTAAATCCAGCACTGCTCAGCCTGCAGTAGTTTAGCGTGACAGACATAGAACACATGTTACATGTCTGAGCTGATCCTAAGGACCTGAGGTAATGTTATGCAAGTTAAATTTTCATCTCATTTAATGTCAGCATCTTTACTGAAATGCACAGATTTATTCCAGTTTCTAGCAGTTGAAAATCTATCCCTGAAGAGAGGCTGTCAGCTAATGATGCCAGATAGATCTATTGCCAAAAATGAAACACTTTTTGTTATGATAGAAAAAATAATTCTATTTTTTCATTGCTTTGTCTTTCAGGACAACTCTGCTTAATAGAGCCTGAGAAATTTGGATCAGATTTGCAGACTTCGAAGCACATCTAATGGACATGTTTTTACAACCTGAATGAAAGACTTGGACTGAGCTAAGAAACACCTCACTGGATGAGGTCTGTTTTGTACATACAGCAACTTTTATGAAATAAAATGTGGTAAATATTTCACATGTCAACCTTAAGGCACTTACTGAAGGGTTTTGGTTTTTTATTTTAAATATAAGGGCAGGGCCCTGTTCTCAGAGATGAAATGTATCATGGGAGATGGTATCTTACTCTATCAGCGTCCAAATTTTTATTTTTTATTACTTCCACCAAAACAAATACAAATTAAGACACACATCCTAACTGAAGACAGCGTTCAGGTTAAATACCCCATTGGACCAGTATCCTACAGAGCACTCAGTATGTTTCCCTAGCTTTGAAATGAAGGGTCTCCTTCAAATCAGCAGAATTGTTCACAGAATTGTTCACAAGTGTTTGTTCCTCTCCTCCATCAGCAAATAGTGCCTTACAAGGTACTGAGCTTGTGTAGTTGTACCTTCTGACTGGGCTGGAAGTAAGGGAAATAAAAATATGGATGTCTCGAAACCAGCTACAATGTACTTTTTAAATAAAGTGGAGAATTATGGCACATGAAGTAGAGTATACCTGCCTGTAACACTGATGGTGCAGCAAACCTATTTTTGTTATGTGATTTCAAGAGATGAGAGGGGGTAACTGCTGGGGTCTGTGCGTTTGTGTGTGAGTCTCTGTGTGTGCACATGTGATGATGCACACATGTCTAAGTTTTAGTACTTCTGGGAACTATCCTTTACATTCTGGCTGTCAGAATAGTTTGTCTTTTCCTTTTGAAAATCAGGGAATTTTTTTTTTTTGTCATGTTTGAAGAGAAGAATGTCTAACCTAGATTATAATTTCTGCAAAACAGGCCTAATATGCTTTTCTAAAAAGAATCTTTGTAAAATAAAAAATCAGCATGGGCCAGGGAAAGGGAAGTAAACTCAGATGTCCAATTTCAAGTTAAGTTTAAAGCTTTTTGGAAACCTTAAGAGGAGTTCATCGCTGTGAATTGGTCATTTCACATTGCTGTGAATTGGTCATTTCACATTGCTGTGAATTGGTTCTTTGGAAAAGCCCAGTCTGCACTTACAGACAATTAAAACAAAGACCAATTTTGAATGTAAATTTTTCTAGTCTTTTGCAAGCCATGATTAACTGTCTGAAACAGCACCCACTGAAATCTAAGGGCAAACACTCTAAGAAATTAGTCAAACCTTTGAACAGGTCAGTATCAAAATTAGAGGTGATCTGCAAACCCTCTGATGCTTGCCATTTCTAATTTCTCCTTTTAGAATTGAGTTTACACCTAATTTGACTATCTGAGTACCTGAAGAGCTTCTGTTAAGTTCAAGGTATTCATTTCCAGGGAGAACAAAAAATATAGTTAAGACTCTTGTCAACTGATCTCAGTTAAGAAAAACAAACAGGCTCAGATTAAAAACTATGTTGTCTAATGAACAAATTATTACCCACAAACACCTACTTTTCTTTTCCAGTAATTTTCCCTCTGAAGGCTTGAGGGCTGAATAGAAGATAATAACTTGAGCCAGATAATTAGACTGCTTTGTTTTCTCTTTTTTATTCATTAAAAAACAACAACAACAACAAAAACAGTCCCTCTAAAGCTGACAGTGGTTACAGCCTCCCTAACAGAGCCTTGCAGAGGACCTCTGCAAGGACTTCCTTAAAAATGACCAGCTCTTGGTGTTTATCTTACTCTGCCTTCTGTTGAAGAAGGGGCAAGACTTGCTGGACTGAGGGTCTGGTTGATTCCAGCCCAGCAGACTCCTTGCCCGAGTGCCTACAGCCAAGAGCAGTGCCACTGTTTGATGCAGCATCTGCAAGCACTTAGCAGAAATTTGCATTATTGGCCCTGGAGCACGGTGAAAAATTAAAATGTTTTCCCTCTTCCACTTCCCCCTTGACAAATACTTACAATTAGAGGAGTAAGTTGATGTAAGGAAGGGAGACAAATCAACATTTTGCTATTCCCATAGCATTAGCATCAAAGAGAAACAAAAGCAAGTTACACCATGAGGAAAGAAGAAGTAGAATACTAACTGTTAACAAGAACAGCCTGGAAAGGGGAAGGGATAATTCTTATGACCTGCTGCTATTTTTTCCTGTGCTGAAGTTCTGGCCTTCAGCCCTGGATTCCAGTAAGAATATTTATACTGTATTATTACAGTGTTTTGCACTTTCAGAGACGTTCTAGCTAGTAACATTGTCAGACACTATATGAGGGATTGTATATCAGCTTTGTTTATGTAATTGAAGTTTAAAAGGGATGCTTAAAATTTAAGAAAAAAATATATATTTGAAATTCAATTTTAGAACACTTTCTGTAAATGTATGAAAGAGCTTTCACATGAATGTGCACTTCGCCGGTCAATCAGTCCAAGCATATACTTGAAATCCTTGCAGTATCTACATTGGTTCCCTTTTATTTTTCCTCCCTACGTTTGATACATTCCTTAAAAACCGTGTTTTGCTATTCTGAGCTGAAATGCTAAATATAAAGCTGTACCATAAAGCAGGATATTCTGTGTTTGACTGGATGTGCTTGCATTAATAAAAAAAGGAATTGCTTCAACCATGATTAACTTTTTCCACAGTTATTTTTCACTTGCAAATGTATCAAACCACAACCCAGAAGCTGAATGAGGTGTGAAAGGCAGCATGGTCACAGTGAACCGACTGGTTACCTTCTGACTTGAAAAGCTATAGTATTAAATATTTAAATTTCTTTCAACAGAGGCAAAAACAACACTAAGCCAACAGCATACTGCCAGTTCTAGTGTTCTTTCTGTAGCAGTATTTTATGGATTTCATAGGGTGTGTGCTACAGAATATTTTTGTTCTCTCAATGGAAATGTTTAACAGTTCCACTGTGTAAAAACCTATTGTGTCGTAAGAGCTGAATTTCATTTTTCTCCCCGTATTTATCACTTGAACAGCAGAGCACAGCAACGTTTGCTGGCTGCAGCTGGCTGCAGGGTTTCCTGTGGCAAGGTTCTGTTGGCATTTCCACACCCCAGCACCTCTGTGCAGCCACCACCCTTTCTGCTGCACAGAACAAAGCCACCTCTGCAAGGTCCCCCAGAGAACAGGCCAGCACGGAGCTGTGAGCAAAATCCAGCTCTTCTGCCCCAGTGCCACTCCTTTTCAGGGATATGACCTTGGCAAAAGAAAACCAAACTGCATCTTGGAAATGCAGGAGCCCTGGAAGTCCCCATAAGCATTTCTGATCTGTTGGAAACTCTGGGGGAAATGGTTTTGGTGACCAGACACCCCCACCATACTTGCAGAGCTGAACAGTGCTGTGCTCATCACAGCTCATTAGAAAAGATAATGATGTTTACCAGCATTTAGAGGATTGAGCAGATAAGAGTCTTCCTGATGGCCAGTTCACAGTCATAATTAATATGAATATCACATCCTTGAAAACTCACTTCCAATTAGGTCCCATCCAGTCATTAGGATAAATTAGCTATTTACACAGGCATAAGAGTAAACAATAAAATTGCTTTCCAGGCCCTTCACTGCCATTAGAGCACAACACGGAGTGACAAGCAGTAGCTCTATGCCAGTAAGGTATCCTTAGTTACGTTAGCAGCAATTTGATTTATCAAGTTGTTAATTCCCAAGAAACAATTTTCTTTTAGCAAATGACTCACAGGGCAGAATTCAGCCGAGCAGTTAGCTGCCAGCTGATACTGGTACATCTTTTGGGGAGAAATCAGTAATTCTGAGGATGTGCTGACAGATCTGTCTTCAGCCTTCAATGTATGGAATTTTATCAGGGCAGCCCCAGTTTCCCAGCTAACCAGAACAACCTACAAGCAGTGTGTAGAAGTACAGTTTTTACCTTGTTCTCTGCAGCAATTGAATAGGGCTGTGTGGACAGCAAGATACTTAAATAATTTTTAAAAATCAAATTACAGGAAGAATTCATCTGCAGCTGTTAATGCATGTTATCAAGGAAGTTTCCACACCAGTAAGCATGCAAATATTAGCAATAGCTTCCTTCATGCTTGTCCCTGGCAAGGCAGGGATAACTGGGAATGTTTTGAGATTCCAGCAGATTCCTATGTGCTCTGACAGAGGTTCCCTGAGAGTGCAGAGGTTTGCTGTCCTTCACTGCTTCCCCAGGTGGACCTTGGGCTTTGGAAGAGAGAGAAACCACATTTGGGGGTGTAGTTCTGCAGTAACGTGAAGGTACAACAAAAATTATAACCATCCCTCTAACATGGTAACAATAACTGAAGCATTTCTAGCATTTCCAATGTTACAAGCAATTTTTGTCATCAATGTTTCTATGGCTTCCTAACAGCACATTCAGCTTCTGCGCAGAAAATGATGCAGTTGATTGCTGTAAGGTAACTTAGGGATATTGGTTTATTTATGTAAAGAAATATCAGAAGCAATCAAGTTCTGTGTCAAGCAGGGAGTGCTGGACAGTCAGAGGCTTATTCTGCCCACTCCTTCAGACATGTGATGCAGAAGATATTCAAACCACCAGGAAATGCAACAGCCAATAAATACAGTTTCTGATCTATTAGGATGCATACTTCACAGCATTCAGGCTCCTGACAGCCACTAATAAAAAGCACCGAAATAGAGAAGTCCTGTCAGAAACAGTGTTTGGCAAAAACAGTGCACAGTTACTTGAAACTATTAGTAGCACCTACCAGGAAACCAAACCTCCCAAACAACCCAAAACTTAATACACACACAAACAAAAAAGCCAAGACCCAGGTCTGAGGCCACACAGAGGAGTCTGTTTGCAAACCTACTTCAGCACTAGGCCTGGAGACCATTTACAGGATTGAAAGGAATATGAAAGTGAACACAAACCAAAGCACCAGCTTCAAACATCCTCACCTAATCCAGGACAGAAAAGAAGAAACTTGAAATTTAGTGGAAATTTGCTTCTAATATGTCTAATCTTATCTAGCTGCTTCGGATTAAGCAGCAATCTTAAAAGTGATGTAATTCTGTTTGGGGGCAGAAGTCAAATGAGTTCCAACAGAATCTCATTACAGAGAAAACTACTTAATATCTTTTTAATCCCCGTCACATAAGTACACTGCGGCCTCTTCTGATTCTGTGGCATATTAAATATAGCATCCTGCTATCCATCAGTATCAACATTGTAAGTTCCCTTTAAAAGATATACACACCATAGTTTACGTTCAATTCAAAGAAGATACTGCTCACAATATTCCACAAATATCTATTAAATCAAAGAACAAACTACAACATATCCTCAGGAACAGCAACAGAGCACTGAGGAACTCAGCAAACACAATTGTGACTGAAGTATTGGATGTTTATAGCAATACCAGAACTTAATGAAACGGTGAATTATTCTTGTCTGGGGACATAATAGCTCACTGTTGATGACCTGATCTCAGTTTGGAAAAAAAACAAACCACTTCTAAAACATTTCAAAAACATAAAATCCAAGCAAGCAATTAATAATTTGACAGATGCAAACAAATCCATTTTTCTATACACCTCGAACTTCACTTAGAAATTTTGACTACCCAAATATTCCAAAAAGAATTTTACAATAATCCAGCAGCCAAGAAAATCACTTTGAGAAGATTTTTAAGAGCACACAAACACAACCCCCCCAACATCTGTTCCATGGATGCATTTACAGGCCAAAACACCATCCCAGCTACCACCCCAGGAAAAGCTGTGACTCACAACCTGAGAGTAGCCAAAGCTGTCTCAGAGCTGCTCTCCAGAGCCTTCCTGAGCATCAAACAATCTCAAAGGGTTTTATTTTTGCTTCAGACTATCCTTTTAACAGTCATTTTCCCCATGGATTGTAATGAAGCCAGCAAGAAGCCACTGAAGCTTGCATAAGGCTGCAGGAAATCTGCAAAGAGCTGAGGCTCTCACAGGGCTACAGCCATGCTGTGCCTGTTAGCTCGTGTTTCCACAGCCCTGTTCAGCTTCCCCTCCTGCCTCCTCCACATCCATCACGCTGGGACAATCTCATTTCCCCCCTTCTCCTCACAGGAGAAGCTCCCCTGTTGTTTCACAGCTGGGACTTTGCTGCCAGGCCACACTTGCCACTGCCTTCAGCAGGAGCCAGGTCTGACAGCACATCCATGAAGGCTGTTCCATAGCCTCTGCCTTAAATTCCACTCCACAGACACAGCCTTTTTTAACACAGCACTTCCACTCAAAGTCTGGTAAAGAGCACATCCTCCCACCATGGATGTGCAAATGGCAAAACAATCGACAAAGAAACGCCAAAATAGACCCTCACAAATGAATGAGGAATGAGTTAATGTCCTCTTTTACCTGCAAGTCAAATACAAATGCAAAGTATTCTACCTATTAAAGAAAATTCTAAAGCCCTTTGCTAAGTTAACTTGCACCAGCAAAGAGTTTTTACAGCATTTATAGAGAAAGCTGAGAGGACATAGGTTAAAACATTTTAGTGATATGTTACGTACAAGTCCTGTATACATACAAGGCAACCTTGAAGCTGTAAGAGCTGAAAATGCTCCAGAAAAAACACATAACAAACACATTTAGATCAGCTCAAATAAACCAGTTAAATGACCACAAACTTCAAGTTCAGGGCGACTTCTTTACCTTACCCTGGAAGAGACTGAGCTAACCAAGACAAAGCTGTGTCTTAATAAAACCTTATACAAACACTTAGGCTTAAATATAAAAGGGATTTATTGAACATTCTACCTGCAGGTCAGAAGTACTTTTGCTGCACAGCACTTCCATGGAGATCCCAGCTACCACCCCTGCTCTTTAGGCCAACCTCTACAGAAGCAAATAAGGTCTCCTGACCAAAAGGTAAAAGCCGCTCCCTTGCTAGTGCAAACTCAAAAATAACAATAAAACACTCACCTTACTCAAACCCAGGAGACACATTTCTTGGAAAAGAAGCAGAACCCTTCTCTAGCAGCTTCAGGTCCCAAGTGAGGGGAGGCAGTCCTTGCCCAGGCTAATTAAGCCCAGCTGCCAGGGTTATTATGGGCAGCACCTGGGGCAGCGCAGCCCCGCAGGGCTCAGCAGTCTCTGCTGCTGGCTCAGGGCACCACTGCTCTGCCACTGCCCAGAGCAGGGCTGGCCCATCTCCAGCTCCCCAGGCAATGATGATGCTGAAACTCCCATCAGCTGGAGCCCGGGCCATGGGAAGCCCAGGGCACTGGGGCTCTGTGGGTGCTTGCATGGCTCCCAGGTGTGTCTCTACACAGCCCAAATGCCCGGCTCAGTGCCAGGCTTTCAACAAAATTGTGCTATATCACAAAGGCAAAGCTCTGCAGAGCCACTGCAATCGCAGAAATGTAAAAAAACTATTCTATCAAAGTCTCCTTTCCTGTGAGGCTTTTCCAGTCAGAACAGGTGGAGTCCTTTAGTTTGTAATCAGGCCTAACAAGGAAAAGGTGAGCATCGTTAGGGCATGAACTAAGCACAGCTTAAGCTCATTATCCTCATTTTCCTTCACAGCTGAGTAAAATTTGAATGATTTATCTCAAGATGTATTTGGAAGTCACACTCAGCAAGAAGACCACAGGCAAATGAAAGCTACGCTCATCTTTGATACACAGAAAGCTTTCATCATTACACTGATAAATCAATAAGTTACTAATTTATGCTGAAACACCATTTTAAAGGTTATTTGAAGCTTTATTACCTTCATTCATGGATCAGACAAGGCAAAAATTTTGTTCTAGTTTATACTTTGGCATGAACTAAAACCATTTAAATGTCTGCATTCAGATACAAGTGGTTAGGGCTCACCTACTACTTCTGTTTTCCTCCTGATGCCATTCTCTTCTTGAACATAGTTTACAAATAAGTTTTGATTTTCATAAGTGTGTTCATCTCAGAGTCCAAAGGCTTTTATGGAAATAAAAAATCCCAGTATTTTCTTCTGTATGCAGGAGACCCAGAACTATTTCCCCTAAGTGTTTTCCATCTGTATCTGCTGAAATTGGTATCTACGGGTCTTATTGCATAACATATTTTTAAACAATTTCAAAAGCACAACCCACATTTGTTCCTGCAATAGTCTAAAGTAAAAGTTCACGCTGAGCTAATCTCATCTTGATTTCCTTTAATGAAGAACACTTCTCTCTAGGGAAGACTACAGCTTGCAAATTCCTTGGAAAAGGTTACAATTTCTGTGACTAGCACGCAACAGAATCAAAATTAATTCATGATTCAGTGGAGCATGTTCCTATTTAAATAAGTGTTACTATATTTACTACTCTAGCACTAAAACACAGTGACTCCTCCAGGAAATCACTTGGACCACCACTCAAAAAAAGTGTGTTATGTAAACAGCATCTGTCAAAACAGGAGGATGAGGCCCAGCACTCGGCCATATAACCCAAGCACCGACCCTGGGCACAGATTGTGACTGTCACTCTTCTCTGCAGTGCCCCAGCAGCAGCCCAAGCTAAACAAACCCCCCCAGTGCGGGGCTTATTCTTCCTCTGCAGGCAGAGCACACCTTGGAAAAGCCAAGTCTTGTTCCCAAGCAAGAGAGTTTTGTATTTGAAGTACAACTAACTTGCTTTCTTTCTTGGATGAAGTTAGGAAACACATCCAAGAAGAGTTACCCATCTTCCTGGGAAAGAGCATGCCTCGGTTTTCATCACCCGGACGGGACCAGCTGACACCGATCTCCCTCGCTGCTGCTGCTAAGCCCAACCACACAGTGGAAAACAGCAGAACCTGAGACACCTGGATACCAGCACTCTGCCATGTTTCCAAAACATGAGAACAGGGACAACTGGATCCTCCTGGGCAGCATTCTGAGTGCTGAGAGCTGAGGTGCAGCAATGCTGGGCCTATGCCCTACCTCTGTGTCCATTCCAGGGCATGTCAACCAGCAGTGGTGTCAGCGAGAGGCATTTTTGGATGTTTATTCTTGTGCCCCCAGGACAGCAGCAGCTGTCCTGAAGTTTTAAAGGCTGGAGTCTCAGGAGAATGCCCCACTTGTATCTTCACCCCAAGTCATAACACCAATGTATTTCATCTTGTAGTCATCCATACCTTACAATTTTTGTTAGCAACAACCACGATAAGGTAAATCTGGTGTAAATCTAAGTTGTTCAAGGAACAAACTCTCATCTCTGGTCTGAGTAGACACCCGAGATGCAAAAGTGAGCTGGTTGAATTTTTCACTGCAAATATTATTTGAATCCAGTGTGTTATGCTCTGTACCATATTTTTGTAAAAGCATATTTCAGAGAAACAGCTTAAAACAATTTCTAAAATGCAGAAATTCCATTTATTATATTGAGAATATAAATTGCAAGAAGTCCTGCAATGCATTCTCTTCACTCTAAGTACAATACAGTACACTGTTCTCCACAATAAGTTACATAAAGGCAAATTTTATATACATATAAAAAAGGATCAGTGCCCAGAACTATTTGCACAGCATTTCTGCTATTCAGAAATCAATCATTTAAATCTTAAATTGCCTTCAGAATTCTTGAGCAAAATAAATCCATAAACAGATCTTAATTACCTGGTTTGAGAAAGGTTTTCAACTAATATCTATATTCAGCAGAAACCATGCAAATGGTTTAACCACCGAATTAGCATTCTCTGCATTCATTCTATAAACAAATGTATTAAAAAATGAGGCATGCCATATGGTATCATATAAGAAAATGGAGAAAAATGACCTGCCTGTGTTTGAACTGTTTATGCATCCCAAAACACCCAAAAGGTAAGTACCAAAGTAGTAGTGCCATTGTACACGGCACTAATGAAACCACAGCATAATTCTGCTTAAACATGCTCAAAAATCCCAATAAGGAAAAAAAAAAAAAAAAAAAACCAAAAAAAACCCAAAAAAAACCCCAAAAAAAACCCCAAAACCCCAAACAGAAAAAACCAAAAAAAAAAAAAAACCCCAAAAAAAACCAAAAACCAAAAGGAAAACCCAGAGGAAAAAGAACCAAAACCCTAAAACATCTGCAAACTGAAAAAGTGAAGAAATAAGGCTGCTAGAATGATCAGTGTAACGAAGAGCATTGTATAAAGGAAGACTGTAATAGCACTTGTTTTTTCAGTCACTGAAACAACTATAAGTATATGACACATTACAAAAACATGTCAGGAAAATGCCCAAAATAAAAGAATGCACAAGGAAAATACTGGCACACTAGCAAACAGGCCACTAATAAATTCGTATGGGAATTATAAGGTAGTTCCTCAACTTAACAGATGAGATACATAGGCAGGGCCTTGGAATAACGAGTGGGGGCAAAATTATTTGAACAAACAAGTTTAATAGCACAGCTCAGTTTCTAGAAGAGATATGGCATCTGCTGTGGGAAAAGAGCAGGCACAGAAACACCCAGCTGCAATGTTCCCAACTTGTCTGATCTATCACTGAAATAAGAAGGTGGCATTTCCTTCGCAGTGTGAACTTCCATTATATGCTCTAAAATTCCACTTAAAGGGATTTTCATTCCCACCTCCCCAAATTATTCTCTATTCAACCATGTCAATGTCTGTCAATACAGCAAATGTGGCACCAAGCCCTTGCTGTGGAATCAGCACCTTCCACAGCTGCTGTACTGGTCAGCATGGTGAGATTATTTTCCCACACCTTTCTCTTGTTTCTACAACAGAGTCTAAGTATAGTATCCTTCTAAAGTCACAGTGCAGTGAGCCATACAGACTGAAAATACTCAAGACACGAAAGATTATTTCATTTAATTCTCAAAAGAATGCAAATATAAGAACAGAAATGTACCACATGGAAAAGTGTTGAACTGTACATTCCACAGATTTTTCCAGTTGATACTGAAAACACTTTCCTTGAACTACATATGCCATCCAATTTATCTGAGGTGCTTGAACTCACAGGATGCGTAGGTAAGAGCCTATCAAAGGATTACTCAGAAAACAAACACGAGAACCAAAAACTCTCTAAACTCTTCTTCACCGAAAAAGAGAGGCACTGCATTTGTGAGCTGAATTAAGGCTGTAACAGGATGCTGGTTGACTGTGAATGTGCAGTCAGGAGCGGGCGGGGAGCCCCTCAGCGCACGGCCTCGCTGTTAGTCCTGTAGGCCTGCTTGCGGAGGTGCGCCTCGATCTCCTCGCGGAACACCAGCATGCCCAGGTGCGAGTGCGACGCCTCGTTCATGGCTTTGGACTGGATGCACATGCGGTACTGCTCCGGGGTCAGCTCGTCCGCGCAGTGCTTCTCGTGCCACAGGTGGAACAGCCCGGGCACCGGCGTCCTGATCACCATCAGCTCCCCGTGCAGGTACTTCCTGTACAGGTGAACGTCCTCGCCGCCCCAGCCTTTCACTTCCAAGTCAAAACCCCCTACAAAAACAGTGTCAGAAATCGTCATCTGGGCACACAGCCAAGAACAGCAACATTTATACCTCATGTGTTACCAGATCTGGCATCACGTTCCAGAAATTCTGTAGCAATTAACTACGTTTCCCATGCCCATTTGAGGAACGGGAGCTTCAAGGACACCACATCATTTGTGGTGGAAACAGCCCAGGACACAGATCTGCTGACTTCAGAAGGTCTCTTAGAGCAGAGTCTCCAAATTGCATTATGCATGACAGCCCATGTGACAGCTGCAGAGAACTGTAGGCAAACCTCACTCGCTATGATTTTGGATTATTTTTAGGAAGCATAATGGATTTTAGCAGCTGGAAAGTGAAGCACCCTCTGAGAAATCCTCTCTAACAATGCCAGCAATTACTCTACAGGTCACAATTCAAAAGGCTGGATTAAAGAAAGGAACATGGTTCACCATTTTAAGTCTCTTGTTTTTCCAGGAAGGACCACAGTGAAGAGCAACCCAGGCTCTTGTACAATTTCAAAACTCCAGAATTATGAAGTCCTCATTTAGCACTGCCATACAGATGGCAATATGACTGCTATTAGCAATCAGCCTGCATTCAAGCCACCAGACAGCACGCAGGGCTGTGCTGTTACATCTTCTGGCAGACTGTGCTCACCACCATCTTCCACATTTAAGCACACCAAGCTGTTCTCGGTTTTAAGAACATGCCACAAGGGGGGGCAAAGCACATTGCTAAAGGCTCCGAGAACTGTATTCAATTTCTCTAGGTTATTTAAAAGAAAGGATGTGAATTCTTGTCTGTGTGAATGGCTTATTTGAGTGACATGTTTCTTAAACGTGATTCATTTGCTTCAGACAGACAAAGTACCAAAAAAAAAAAAAAACAGGCAGTATTTAAAAAAATTCTAGAATGAAATGTTTCTACTAAAACTATTGTGTCTTTTAATACACTCAACAGATGGGACATCAAAATCCAAAAAAGCTAATTTATCTCATTGGTCAAACTTGTCAAGCAAGTCTGACTGCTGGGCTTGGGGAAATAATACAAGAAATAAATATATTACTTTCCTGTAATTAGGTAAGACCAGAGAATCACTTCTTAAAGATTTTTTTTTCTTCACTCTCATCTTACCAACAGTCAGAAAGTCTGTCCGATATTGACAAGTCATCCCAAAGCCAAAATCCCTCCAGAAACCAGAATCCTTCTTGTGTACCTGCAATTTTAAACCAGTATTAATTCTGAAATGTACAATACAACCAAGAAGATACATTGCACTTGGTTTTGCAGAACGCTAAGCTCTTCCAATCATTTGTTCAGTGCAGGATAGAGCATAATAACACTTCTGGTATTTCTGTGTCATGCACTCATGTGGGGCTTCCCAGTGACCTGCTGCTCACTTCACCCTCAGCCTTCCAATTCCACTCCCCCTCACTGCAGATTCCACAGCAGTTTCTGCTGCACCACCTCTATTTTCAGATTCCACAGCAGTTTCTGCTGCACCACCTCTATTTTCTATGTATCTGCCTGGACCAAGCAGTAAATTAGTCCATGGATAAATCATCTATTCCCAACACTCCATTTCCTACCCATTTTCAAAGGCCACATTTGTCTCTTGATCTGATATGACATGAGAAGTAAGCTTTGTGATTGAAGTCAACAACCATCATACTGTTAAGTTTAAGAGTAAACAGAAGAGCTCAGGGGCTCACTCCTCTCTCAGCTGTGATTATCCAAGACTATATGCAAAACATTCCCTCTGGCTTTCAGTAGAATCCTTGCAAACAACGTAGGGAATGAGAGCTATTATGTTTTTTTTTTAATACAGCTCCTCTTCATACTACTCTCTTCTTTTCCTTCTCTAAACCCGTCCATCCCAGAAGTCTCAGCTGAAAAACCCGATTTCACCCATGCAGTCTCTCGAAAGAGAGTCAGACTGGACACATCATTCAGAGGTTTTTGCCCTTCACCAATGCTTTGTTTGCTGGAACATAAGATGAAAGTTGCTGCCATGCAATGCCACCATCCTCCTAAAATACTGGCTTGCCAAGCCAGAATAAGTAGCAGATCAGAACTACCAACTTAATTTGGTTAATTGCAATTACTTCTTTTAAACTAGGTGGAACTCCAAGTTTATCTAAGAATGAGTTTTGTACTGTTTGACAAGGTTTTTTCCAAGTTCTTTGCCCATAATGGAGAAAACTGTTTACATATGCAGTGCCAAAGGTCGTAAGATATCCCAAACAGACTATTAAGTTACACTTAATTTTATTTTAATACAAAGCTCACCTAATTCTATCTAGAATAAATCAGGCTGCTCACCAATTGCTGCTCCACAGGAGGTGGTATATCTTGATTGGCATAGACAATAGCAGGATTGTAAAGGCTGAATACCACAGGATAGAAAACTTTCTTTCCTGGAAGTCAAAAGATAATTGTTACTCACTGTGGGCATGCTTTCTGAAGGCAGAAAGAAACCAGAAACACACTTTTTATGTAAAATATTACCTATTAGGCATCTAGTGGAAGCAAATAAAAACAAATTCTAGCTGCTAAGATTTCCCACTTAGGAAGCCATTAACATCTAGTGGAGCAGAGCCCTTAGGATCAAAAAAAATACATATGTATGCATATTATACATATTACATTTGATCTACATTTATATATAGTTATACATGCTTATATAAAATGTTAGATACTAACAACAGTCCACAAGAATATTCACTATCCTGCCTTGGGCATGAACTCTGAAGGAGTGAGCAGCATTTTCAGATTTCATTTGAAACAAAGGTGACAAACTGCCAGTATGAATTTCAAGCAGCCTCTGCAGTCTCTTGAATTCTCTTTCTCGTTAAAGCTCACAAAATACTCCTCTCCAAAATTTTTCCAATTATTTATACCACTTGTTCCATGAAGTACACAGACAGACAGAAATGAAAGAAAAAGCAAAAAACAGGACCCAAAAATCTGGCTTCTGGAGAATTTTCTTGCCTGCTTGTTAGGTAAAAAAAACCAAAACATCTGTTGATTCCAAATTAACATTTTGAGAAAATGGTTTCTGACTGCAACAAATTTGAAACAAGAGTAGGCATTAAAAAAAGAACCCAAACAGTTTGACAGGAGAAGGTCTTCAGTAGCATGCTTGTTAACTCAGGAAAGCTTTACCCTTCTTGGCAAAAGCTTGTAGAACAAGCAAGTGTCATACAAACTTAAGAAAAACTATCAATATTTCAGAGCTTGGAACAGTGGAATCAGTCTCCATAAGGAGCATGCTGTAGCTATACTGAAAACCATTCCTTTGTGACATGTCTTGGCCATGTGTGAGAAGAGATAAACCAAACTTTTTAGAGATTTCAGCATAACAAAAATCATCTTCCACTGTAGAGCGTTACACTGAGTTTTGTTATACAGATTTACATGAAGTCTAATTGTTAAAGCAATTAAATTGTCCAGCTTTCTTGCAGACAACTAAATCTGAAGAAAACATGAAATCTGTACATTGTACAAAAAAGACAATGTATTCTTAAAACAAGCTACACTAAGGCAGAGAAATCTCAGTCGATAACTGCCTTTTGTGCAGTGTGATTCATTTTCCAGGGTGTGTGGTACTGAATAAGCTCCACCATTCCAGTTGAGTTTTCCTTGTTTTCTATATGCTCAGCACAGGTCAGTTGAAGTCAAGCAGGGTGACAAGGCCCCGTTCCAGCAACACTAAAGGAACATACCGGGCTCAGCATTTAAGCGACAGCTGTTGAGGAATTCGGCTGTGAAATAAACATCAACATCACAGAAGAACATCAGGACCTCGCCCTTTTCCCAGGCTCTGGCACCCATGTCAAGTCCTCGGCCTCGGTTGAATTCCTCATTCAGAGAGACAAGCGTGTAATTGTGAAAGTCAGTTTCTCTACAAGAAAAACAGAGCCAAACCCAAAATAAATCTGTGGGGAGGGGCATTTATAGTTTTTTTAGCATTGTACAGGAATTTAATTCCAGAAATTGAAAAACAAAAACAGTTATATGATCAGAATGAAAAAAAAAAAGATGTTACACTTAGTTGTCTATTTTAAACCTTGTAAAATGATAGAAATCTGTCTTACTTTATAACTTCATGTTTAATCATTCAGACAGATTAAAATGCTTTTTGTTAACTGACATGAATTAAAATGCTCTCCTGAATTACAATAGCATCTAAAATTTGTCCCCACAAACCAAGAAGTCCTGACCAACAGAAATATCTGTGTCTTTACCAGTTCAGGGAAGAGGGCAAACAAGAAGCCAGAGTGCTGGCATCACCAGAATCATGGGGCAAAGGCTGTCTGTGTGGCAGTGCCACCATATCCCAGGCACCTTGCTTCTCCTCGCTGTTTCCCACTAGCACATATGCCTGTACTCACAGCAGAAGGGGGAAGGAGCAGCCAAAAGAGACTGGAAACAGACTCAGAGAACATCTTCAAGCAAAGTTAAGTGTCTACTTCAGAGACACTTCAGAGGACAATGCTTGAAGAGAACAGAGTGGCAATATTCAACAGTAGCACCACTATAAAGATACAGAAGCAGGCCAATGCCCAGTGAGCCTGCAGCACTGACTCAGTGCTCTGAGGGACATCTCACAGGGAGCAGGGCAGGCTGCAAAGGCCTCAAAATTGAGGGGTACAGCACACAGCAGGTGCTAGGGAGACTGTAGCAAAAAATGCAGACATTCTGTCCTCCCCTCCTACAAGATACCCTTACATGTCAGGCCAGCTCTCCATAGATGCTTCAAGCTGGTGACAAAGTAGCCTGTGTCTACTCTATGTCATGGAGAGGAGCCTGGCCAGCACAGTGAGACAGGGACCCAAAGAAGAGCTCAAGGAAAACAGGCTCCCAGCTCAGGGATGAGTGCTAGAGCTCAGGTGGTGAAGGAGCCCCTTGGCTGTAGGGTAAAGGATGCTGACACCTGTCCCATCTCTCTGGAAAAAAACCATAAATTACACATTCGTGAATTTTACATCCATACTGATGTAATGCTGAGACAGCACAATGAATTGTGCTTAAAATTATTTTACAGCTGACAGTAAGTACAGGCCTACTTTGACTACTACATTTCTCTTCCTTATCATTAAATAAAATTGTTTCACCAGTGAGATAACTATTAAAATGTACATCCCTGTTCCAAAGAACTTACTGAATATCCATTGCAAAACCCACCCCTGTTGTTTTTTGGACTGTCAGATAGAAACCTCAAAGTCTTTTCTGGCTATAACTTCATTTTTAGTAGTCTTCAGGAAACTTTTGCAACCTAAGCTGCAAAATGGCAACCATAGAGTACAGTAAATAAATAACAAGTTTTCTAGTAACCTGTAATGGAGTATAAATTTTACTTCGTTTATTTCTTCATTCTTTTTTAAAAGCTGTTTAAAATGCCAATCAATATTGGTTTTACTGACTGATGTTGGATTGATACACTTACCTAGCTACAGATTCTAGGATGCTTTTTACTTCTGACAGACCATCTTGTCCAAAGTACACCACTGTGAGGTGAACACGCTTATCCTGATGAATGCACACATCCCTATAAGCACAAAGATAAGCTGATATTAGTAATTACTTACAACAAAAAACTTCAGGCACTTAAAAGCTACTGCATTAAAAAGAATTAGCAGATTGAAGTATTCTGGTTAGTCATCAAATGGCTTCGAAGAAAACAAGAAAAGATGCTTTCCCCTCCTCGTTCCCCATCTTGCCCATTTACATCAGAAGGTTCCAAGACTGTGTGTCACATTCCAATACCTTATTTTATAAAAAGGCACTCTACAACTGATGTAATACAAAAATTACATTTAAGATCATCTGTGTCCAGGTTCACAATGACCCTGACTTTGGCCATTTTGCTGCAATTCAAGAATCTCTTAAGCCCTTTTAGAAGGAATGTTTTCTCCATACAGCAGGTTCAATTACAAACATTCCAAGGCAGTTGCACACAATGTTGGAATCATTAGCTCTGTTGCAACTCAACCAGAGCAGGCATTTATTTTGAAAAGAAAACAAAATACTGAAAATCAGGAACATAGCTCACTATATAATCTCATGCACCTACCTAAAGTTTTGCATAAATTGTGCAAATGCCTCAGTTCTTCCAGCAAGAGGAACAATAACGTTAATGATCGATCTAGAAATATCGACTGTTTCACTCTTCACTTTCATGAGGGGTCCAAAAGGTCGGAACAAGGTGACATGCCTGTACTCCATGCCATCCATCTTCTTATAAAACAGCTCATACTGTGTCCCCTTATCTCTTTCTGTACGATAGTAACCTGAAGAATAAGTCACACAAGTAATATGTAAAGTCAAAGATCCCAGCAGTTTTACTTCAGACACACTGGTTTTCCTTAGAACTAAAGACGTGAGGGGAAAGCTTCTGGGCTTCTCCTAAAACTATATGAAACTTCCACAAACTGTTATTGATCACAGTCACCCTTCTACCATTTTAGGTCAGACCTGAGAAACAATCCCAAGTGAACTCCAGCTTCCCTTGCTTCTTAAAGACAACAGGTCTCATGGTCCTACGCCAATTTCTCAATTGGAGTTGGGTCTTCCCAACAAAAAGGGAATTCAGCTATTTGCTAAGGGAAAGGATGGCTGAAATATAATATTGCCTGCTCTTAAGCCCTTCAGTAAGAATCTAGCCTTGAGCTAGCCCGCAGTAAAATCTGAGATCATCCGGCCAGTAATCACCACAAGAAAAGCACAATTTGTTCTGTGAGCAGAACAAATGACAGTAACTTGCTTGACAAAGTCTGCAAAATCTGACATGTAGGATCTAAACAAAACAACTGTGTGATAATGTTGGAATGCTTTTAAATTGTTTTCACTGCTAACTAGTAGTTAATGCTTTCTATCTGATAAATTAGTGGAATTTTACTACACCCATAGTCTTCTAAGGAGATAGGTAGAAGTTTTTTATGTGGCTGTCACACTTTAGGACAAAAGTCCTACTCACTCCAGAAAAAGGACTATCTGTTGAGAGCTAGTTTACCCCTAATAGGTAGAAAACAATCTTTCAGAACATGATCCTTTAACTTAAGGACCATCAAAGAGGGAAGTTAAACCAACAGATTAATTTTACACCACATAGGAAAGGACTGAGGCTCATCTGTGGTTTTGACCCTACTAAGCTCTGTGTTGCAAATGTCTATGCTAGCCTGAGAGTAAGAAATGATGACAGAAAAAATCCTCCAACAAAAATTCCTTATGTTCATCCCATCTCTGCTTTCCTCTTACCAGCAAGGAAAAGATGTATTATCCAGAAGAACCAAAAGCTATACCATGAACTGGCATTACATTCCAGTTAAGTGGCCACCCAGACCACACAGAAAGTTACAAAGAGCTGCATATTCCCAAGTGCGATGCACACCCCTGCCCCAACATGATGCATTTCCTTTCACCTGGCTGCTCCTCAGCAGCTGAAATCCCTCCCAGGCCTCCCACCCAGAAAGCAGCTGGTGGCAGGCAACAGAGCAGACAAGCCATACTGGTGACACAAAAGGTCCTCTTTTGTACCCAGCATTGATATTGTACTGTTGGTTGTCTTTTTTTGCAACTGAATTCAACACCAAACCAAGTATGCAAAGGAAGCAGCTCTCAGCCCTAGAGCAACTTGGGTTTGACTGTCACAGGAACATGAAAGAAGGGATGAGAGAGTTTTGTGTCTCTCCCTATGCCCAGGCAGATATTCTCCATGTTCCCTTCCCTTTCAATACAAGAAGCAAAGGAATGTGCACACCACCTTGTCCTAACTTCTTTCTCTATATCCCAGATTCCATTTACAAAGAAAGAATCTTTTCCCTAAATCTTCCTCTGTGTTCCTCTGCTCCAGCCTCCATCTGCCAGTTTCATTCACTGATGCTCCTCCTTCTGCCCAGCAGTCTCTCTTTTCCAGCAAGCTCCTTGCACCCCTCCCTCAGCTCTGTAATCCATCCTGTCTTGCGGACAAGCACATGCACTGGCAGACCCAACGGGAGATGTGGATGACCACCACAGAGGGGCTGTGGGACACATGGTGTAGCAGAACAAGCTGGTTCATCACACTGGAACTCAGTGATGACTGAACCTCTCAACTCAGAGGCTTTTACCCTTTGAACAAAGTTCTGCAATGCTCTCCTTGAAAGGACCGAAATCCACATTTATGCTTTTATCAGCACAGAGGTGCATACGTATGCACCACATTTTAATGCTCATTTTCAAATAATTATTAATTACAAGCACTGAAAATGGTGTTCCAAACAATGAAAGCTCACAATGCTGACTGCCAGAAGCAGCACAAGATTTTAAATCCCTCTCAACCATTTTCCATTCCAACCCTTTGTGCTGCAGTCCAGCACTGTAGCTTGAAAACAGCATCTTGGTTAATGGAGTAGCTGATGCACCACAGTGCTAGAACAATAGACAGCAAATACTTTGTGCCAGGACTCCTGGCAAAATTAACATTCAATATTTTATATTTTATTACTTTGTCTGCTATCCAGTAGCTGTTTACAGATAAAAATACAATTTGCAACATAAGTGAAGTTTTTAAAAAGCATACCAGCTGCCAATAGCTTATCTTAAATCAAGCTATAAGCTTAGATATCAGTCTACAACAGAAGGCTGAAGTACAGAGTAAAAATTACTTAACTAATTTAAAAAAATTAAACTAAAGCAAAACTGCTGCAACTTCATAAAGACCTTTATATGCAAATTCAAATCCGAATAATGCCTAGCCAACATTCAATTGCTGAAATACAAGATTCCAAACTTTTGAATCTCATCATGCTACTAGCACCACATTTCTTTTAAATAGTATGCACTCCTAGAGTTATTCTCCTTGCTATGAGCCAGCTTCTGTTGCTAATCTACTAATTTGAATACTTTTATGGGACTAAAGTTTCTATGCACAGAAGCCAGATTTGAGAACAGCCAGAAAAGAACCCATATCTGGTTTACTTCTTAGCGTACTCAAGTTTTTATCACTTGGAACTGACTCACTTAATAAAACCTGTTATCTCACCTTCCAACTAGCATACACTGGCTGCCATCCAAAAGAGAACTCCACAAGCAAAGAGGTAAAAAGGAGCAGAAATAATTTAACAGCTGCTATTCCTGGTCCATGAAGCTTTACTCCCTTTGCAGAAGTTCTGCTTCTCAGCAAACAAATGAAACATATGAATCCTGGGTATCAATTACTATCAAAGCCAAAAAGCTGCTCTTCTATTGCCTTGAATATTACTTGCTTTACAACTACCAGGAAGTGTTTGGTCTATGGATTGAAGATGTAGGATCTGGTTTTTTGTGTGTATTAAGAGCTCTCCACTGAAGCTGGCCTTAACCAGCACACAGGCAGGGGCTGTTAGCATGACAAACAGCCCACACTGTTCTATGGATGGCAAACACTTGGAAGCTTGCAGCACGGGAATAAAGGATTTTTACATTCCAAGGATGGGTGGGGAGTCTTCCTTTTTTGATGACTTTGACCAGTTCCAATTGGAAGCATAGAAGCAAGAGATATGACCCGAACAGCACTGCTAGACATTCAATTACAAGACCTTTATTAGTGATTAGCTAATTGCTTATTAGCTTCTGAAAACATGCTAGTGCTTCTATTTTCCAGCAGCTAATTTTAAATGTCTGTGCAATGGAAGAGCTTATAATCTCTTGATTGAAAAAGCCAATTACACTGATAAATGTAAACTCAAATAAGCCAGTTACACTTATGGTGAAGTGTGTCCATGAAGGCTCCTCAAGGCTTCTCTATCACTGTTCAAGACTCAAATGTCACACACTCTGGAGAAAGTATTACCTCTGTCTGTTCCCTATTATCTCTGAATTACTCTCCATTTCTCAATATTATCAAATACTGATCTCAAAGAAATCTATTTTTAATGGAGGACTATCTTAGAACATGCAGTTCTGCAACTAGGTCCATTGCTCATAATCCTAAATCCACTCCCTTGTGAAAAATATGCAAAATTGCATCTTTTATCCTCTCTAGGGATAGTCTTCATCCATGGGGAATAGGATACTCTTGTTTCTCATACACTTAGATCTAATGTAAACACTAAGAAAAAAAAAAAAACTTCAAAGAGTTTTTCAAACAGTAACTGCATAACGAGACTTTTTTTCAGGTCAGATTTTTGTTCTGTTAATATTAGAATTCTGGAAATTTCATTATGGGTTGCTACAAAGGAAAACAGGTACAACCAACAGAGCTGAGAAATTTGCTGGTTTTCTCTTCATCAGCAGAACAAATCAACTGAGCTTTGTGAAAAATAATTTGAAATTTTCAGGAAGTGTCTTTGTAGTTGTAATATACACTTAGAAATCTTTTTTTTTTACTTAGTGCTATTGCTCAAAGCCTGCACATAACCATGATGTGGCTGTGACAGATCTGCCTTACCAGAATTCCAAAGCAGATCTGGATCATCAGTTTGTCTTGCAACATTAAAAAAATAATGTGAGTTCAGGAGACACTTGTCCAGAGTGCTCCCTGTTGTGGATACAACTTCCTTGCACCACTGGTAGAAGACAGAACACTTTCATGCAGAGCCCACAGAGGCTGAGCATGCAGCAAGGCAGCTGCATGAACACTTAAACTGAGGCTACAGAGCAAAAATGTAGAGTGGCAACAAGAAAGTTGGCATCCATCAGTATGCATTTGGAACTTTTTTGGCCTGCCCAGTATTAAGAGTAATAAAAACCAGTAGATTCAGACTACCACGAGTATTATCAGCTAATTGAGTGTACTTTTCCAGAAAAGTTTATTTAGGAAATTCCTATTTTTGAAATAGAAAGCAGATAAATTTTAAATTCAAGTTATTAGTATTAGTTGTCTCAGATTATTCCAATATAAGAAAAAAAATTCTTGATTTATTTTCAAATGAAGGCAATAATACTTAACTGACTGAGCATCAGAGGCAACACAAATGCTGGGACAGAACTTCAGACATATTCAGCAGACATTAAACGACAACATTAACTAAGACTGTCTATAAGAAATTATATTCTAAACTTACTTAAACAGTCACCAAATTCTCTAAGGAGAGAGTACCTGAAAGTACATATCACAAAAAATTACATAGTTCAAAGTTTAGTCTACTATTTTACAAGTCTAGGAAAAGAGCAGATATAATTCCCAGAACCAAATACTGACCTATATAAAAATAGTCTGTTGAGGTAACAGGCTAGAAGACTTCAGAATAAAAATTTCTTGTAGCACAGTTTTGTAGGTAAGTTTTTGTATATAGATATGCAGTAGTTTTGAGAAAAAATCCTGCAAGTCAGAAGATAAAATCAGCTTATCTATACTGAGCATAAAACGTGATGGTTATGTATTAACTAATGCAGTACCCTGTCTTCTCTTTTGTCCTAGAAGTGAAACTACATACCAAGTTTCTCAGCCTCCAGTTTCAAATTGCACAATACTGTAGTTTTAGTCACAAACCACTTATTACAAAATAATTACCAACCAAAAAGGATGTAGAACTTAAATTATTTTCTTTAACTGAAGTCAGCTTAAAAAAATCTGTTTCTCTAAATGAGCAACACTAATCCAGCAACAATTTTGATGTATCTTAGGACAGTTACAGGACCTGTTCTGACTTCAGCTGATACACCAAGTCTGCTATGCAATTTGATCCTACCAGTTTAGGACAGCTTAAGGGTGTAGTATTTTATAAACAGAATGGCATCAGCTTTCCAACTGGACTTCCATCAAATGGGGATGCACAGGCAGAGGAGGCAGAGTGCTAGAGCCCGTTTACAGAGCTGCAGGGCAAGGGACCTGTGTGTACCAGCACTGGCTGGGTCTGCTTCTTACCTCTGACTTCTGGAAAAACAGGGGTGGGGAAAGATATGGTAACATTCAGAAGATGCCTTTTTGCTGGCTGAATTCGCCAATAGTATTTGCACATAAAAAACCCACAGAATACCCACACAGCCCACAACTTCTATCTGAAGAAAGATACTAATCAATGTAGATAACGGTACAGCTGGTCGCTAACACACCCACATGGAGCATAAAAGACTTGTCTTTTCCTATAGTTCCCGTAACCCTGGGTTTGAAGCTCCTGTCTTTACAGCAAAAGGAAATTATTGTTTTATTTCCAAAAACAAACACTGGTGTGAACAGAGGCAGAGGTATGAATAGGTATGAATTCTAAGGTCCTAAACTACTTGCTTTCTTGAATGTCTGTCATTAAAGGCAGTACACTAAAAAATCAATAGCTATTTCAGTCACGGTAGAATAAAAATCCATGTGAGTACAAGCAAAATCTAAAACAACAATGGAAAAGCAGCTGAATACTTAATGTAGAAATAAAGCCCAAGAATGATAACCCCTGGGAAAAATAATAGGGTTTTAAATGAGAACTGTGCTAAGAGTCTAACATAGGCTGTGTTGCATTGACCCAGTTGAGTGGATTGCATGGCCTGTACCACCTTCTGGAATGAAGAAGAGTACTTGCATCAAACTTTAAACATAGTAGCTCTTAAAAGCAGAGACTTTTTGCACTACAGGCCAATTACATCATCTGAGACTGAAAGAACCCATAATTTCAAGGCCAGTGGTACCTTTCTCCAGCATGTTTGCTTAATAATACAGACATCAGTACTTACTTCAGAATCCCTTCTACAGTAATGGTCTTATAACATGGTCCACCTTTTGGCCTTTAACGGCAGCAAGAAGTGTATTTATTACTGTAAGTACGAAAAAGAGGTACTAGGGCAGTTTTTGATAATGACCATGAAAGGTCTACTCAGGACACCAAGTTCTTCAGCTGACAGGCTCAGAACATAACCTCCCTCTCCCTCCAGTATGACCGAGAGAGTCAAATGCCTGACTATTAACTAAAAGTGGCATAGAGATGAGTGAAGAAAAACCCTGTAGCTTCATACTGGATTGCTTAACTAGTTGGAACAAGAGAGATGAATCAATTTCTCCCTCCCATTGCCACCAGTTTCACTGAAAGTCTTTCAATTATTTAGTACCAAAAGCAGCTGCGTCACACTGACTTTGGCTACAATCAATTGTGAGTGCATCCATGTTTTAAGCAGATACAGCTTCTCCCCCATACATCTCTTGTGGCAAGTCCTTCTGACATGCATTTGTTACTCCACAAAAAACACTAGATAATGAAGCAGTAATATCCTCATCATCAGAAATAAAGGCTCCTATTGTGCAATTACTCTTCAAGACTCTATTCAAGTAGGTAAAACACCTAAAAATACAAACCCCATTAAATGCCTGTTGTGACATTCTGCTAAGGGGCTGGGAAGCATGTAAACATACCTTCGATAAAATCATTTTCACTATACAGCTGCCTGTCTCCTACTCCATCATCTTCATCTTGTCCATCTTCTTCATCTGGATTATTGATAACTTCTAGGCCAGCCTCGATAACTTCCACCAGTTCATCTCGTTTATCCTTTCTAACGGGTTTCTCTTCTGGATGCCGAGTGAGCCCCATCTCCAACTGGAACACTTTCATGGATGTAAAGCTTTCAAAAGGAATGACTCCATACTCACTAGGCAGTTTGGCCCCCACGCTCACCTCAGCTTTGTCAATCTGGGAATGAAGAAACTCCAGGAGATCATTGGATGTTTGTTCTTTGGTGCCCTGGTAGCTCATACCATTGACCTTTGGGTTTTTTTTTTCCTGCAGGGACTTCAATTTGTCACTCATTTCCTGAAGCTCTTGCTTTAGCTGGGCAATCTGACGTTTCAGACTGGTAGCTCGGTTTTGATAATGCTCTTCTTGTTCCTGCAAGAGAGCTTGATAGTATTCTTTACCCATGCTTTCACCTACGACACCAGGCAGAGATCCATTGCCATCTGTTTGTGGAGCACACTCCAGCAAATACATGAGCAAAACTAAACTGAATAGTAAAGCAAGGCCCACCAATAGCCAACGAGTCCTGGCTTGAATTACTAAGCCTCTTCTGGGCATTCTCATATTATTTCTGTTTCCAATCCTAAAAGATGACTTATCTGCTCTTGCTTTCCAGGGGACATCACCCCTGATTTCAAATCTTAGAGAGAAAACACAACTGTAATAGCTACTACAAGTTCTGGTAACGTAGCAGATGAGCACTTTTCAAGCTTTGCTTTAATCAGGTGTCATTGCAGAGATGTAAATCTGAAGTTCTTGTGTCATCCATAACCATCAACTGTAAGTCTGGCTGACGCCATACAATTTGTTCGGGATTTCCTACCCCAAACAAAAAAAAACTGCAAAGGCAGAGGAAGATGGAAGACACCAGCAAGGAATCATATTTCCATTTCCTAATTCAGCCCTAGTTGAAGGGGACTAGCTTATTTGAAGTTTTGTGAAGGAAATCTGCAAAAGTAATTTTGTAAGCTTTGAACAGACAGCAATTTCCCCCCCCCACTATGTGTGAGAGCAATCTACAGTTTAGTAATAGTAATTTTCATTGGCTAGTCTTGCTTTTCCTCTGGCACTTGAGTACTTTATTCCACTTCCCCTCCTTTCCTTGGAATCTGTGGTTTGAGTCAGCAAACCGAAGACAGAACCTAAAATTAAAAGAAAGAAGCATATTAGAACTACAAAGCAGACAGTCATTTGAGAAACACGTGAACAAAGTTCTAATACATGCATGCAAAAGACTGCTGGTGGAAGGAGTGATAAAGGGAGAAAGACAAAGCATTTCTTTCTTTTGCATTGCCCATCAGCAACTCCCTCTGACACAGGGCCTGGAAAATAGAAATATGGACAGTCCAATAAAATGCATTTGTCACACAGCTACCCAAAGCAGTAACAGTTCTTCTCATCTCACCATGGTTTATTTCACATTTGTTTTAACTCCCCCATTCCTTCATGGGTTTTTGTTTTGTTTTACTCTGTGGGAGGGAAAAAAGATATCAACAAACCCCTTGCCTTTTCTACTCCTCTAAACTAAAAAAAACCCCAAAAAATTAAAAAAAAAATCCATGAACTATTTTGAAGCAGCAGAAGCTTGCAATTTCATTTGCTTTGACTTTAAGTAAATACCTTTCAGGGTATAACTGTTCACTCATGAATAAATTATTACAAATTTAAATATCAAAGTTTACAGAAACTGCATTTCAGATCAAGTCTAATTCAAAAGAAATTAAAATTCAAATGCCAATCCCTGATTGATGAAAGGAATCCTGAGATTAGCCATCTGCTAATATTTCCATCTTCTGATATGGTTAGGCTAGCATGAAGAGGCAGTGACCATTTGCATGGGTCACACTCTTACTTGACTGACCAAACCAGCCTAGAAGGAAAGACCAGGGAAACAGCCCACAGTTATGCAAGAGGGGGATACCAAAAGTCCTACTCAGCACTGAGAGTCAGCTAAATATTTTATGGGCCTCTTCAATGACAGCATAAAAGACTAGGAAGTAAGCTCAATGCATGTTAGTCTACTTTCAACGTTAATAAAATCCTTTCATTTAAAATTTGCTTGTATAAAATAAGTGAAGCTCATTAAAATTTATCCAGGGGCCTATTAGCTTTACATCCATTTTGACTGCATTATGCAATTATGGTTTGGGGGAAGTTCTGAGACTCCAAGTTTAGTTTCACTATCCTTAGGAGACTAAAAAAAATTGGCTCACACCCATACTCCTACATGGGCTAGACAGACACTGACAGCTGCCACCCAGCCCATCCTGTGCTGACCCTTCGAGTCAGTCAGGGTGCCACAATGCTCCCATGTGTTTACAGCAAACACCTGGCACTGTGTCTCCCTGATTGTGTCTTTGTGACACTCCTCCCTTCCCACTCAGCTTTCCAGCAGCAGGATACTGATACTGCTCCAGTGCTAATCAGGTACCCCTGATCAGTGGTGGTGTCATATTCAGCATCTTCCTTGCAAGAAAGCTCCAGCTGCAAGGCATGAAAGACTAAGTGATTTATTCATGCCACCAGCAGCAATGCCTGCCACAGCCACACAAAGTTTGCAGGTGTATCATCCACACCAGGTTTGGCAAGAGCTGCACACCTTAGAGGTGTCCAGCTGAAGTCTATAGAAGTGCTCAAAGCAGTTTTTAGTATTTATAGTGCTAAAGTCCCTGTTGATAAATAATTTACACAGATTACGTAGAAATTCTTAATACAGCAGATTGAAGGCAATTACTCATCTGAAACTGAAGCTTCTGGAACTCATGGAAAGCTACTGGAGATTCTGATACAAAGGAAGTAACACTTTTATCAACTGAATGCTAGATAACATCCTTTCAAGTTCAGACAAGCCAGAATTTAGTCACTCCTCACTGCATAAACACAGTATTATAAAAATGCAAGTTGAATGCCTATAAAGAGTGATCAGCTCCAGATGCATCCTCAGACTACTGACCAGTGTCCAGACGTGATGAATCAAGGGAGACAGAAGAAAAATTCTACAGGATAAAACCAGTTCACAGAAATGATACCATATCATCCCAAGCTTTCTTTAGTACAAAGATGACCATATGATGTTTTCTTACATTTCTTACTGAATTCTTGTTCTGTTAGACTGCAAGAGGTGAAGCCATAATTAACAGCATAAAGAACTGTAAGTTTCTATAAACTTCAGTAAAGTTACTCCATGCAGAAGCTGACATCTTCAATCAGTAAAGCCATGTTGAAAAATGATTTAATTATCTAACTTGCATAAAATATCAGTAAATCAAGCCCCAACTAGTCTAATTGTTGTTAACTGACAAATCAATACCCCTGAAGATGGAGCATTAGTTCTAGTAGGCTTTTGTAGTCAGTTCTTGCTGCACCAATAAACTGCCCTGTGCTCAACTTTGATGAGTCCCTAAATTCCTTCAGGTCTCATTCCTGTCTTAGAAGCAAGGGAGAACAGATTTCCTGATGTGGTGCCAAGAGGACACGATGTACCAGGAGATTAAGATCCCCTCAGAGAATAGCAGGGGGCACTGAGAGGACCCTTGCTCTTCCTACCCTTCCTCACTGTGGCGGAACAGACATCATTGTGGCAAGCATGGTTCAGGGAAATCACCACAGCCCACGGGGACTCGCTGCTGGACATCTGCAGATTCCTGGCCCTGCCCACCAGCCCTTCACCTATTCACAGCACAGGGCTGTCTGGGGAGCACTGGCCTGAGGGGTGCTCAGGGAAGAGATGCAATAACCCACTCCTGAAGCAGTGAGAGCCACACCAGCTCACTGGTACTTTTCCTTCTGGGCTCTAATTATTCCTTCATTATCTGAATCCCTTCATCTATGGGCTAGTGACAATCCTATTAACAAGACAGCCCTGTACAGAGACAGACATTGCCCATTTAAGTTTGACCATTTTTTCACCATAAAGAACAGGCCTTTTTCCCACTAGAGCTCCACTGTGGCCTTTAAAGGCCAGGAATGTTTGTGCAACCACTTATGTCGAACATTAAAATTTTAAATTGCATATGGAGAGCTGAATGGGTAAGTTAGTTTGCTAAAGCAGTGGGAACTGAGCCAATTGACTTTTTTTTTTTTTTCCTTCAGTACTACTGCTGCTGAGGGAAGTCATAAAAGAGTAAGACACATTTCATTTTGAATACTTCACAGAGTAAAGTGAAAGCAGTAAGAATCTCCCTTCCTTTTTTCCCCACTGGAAAAGCAGAGCTTATGAGTACTCTATTTCACTATTCTCCCTTTTCAGAGAAGGGGGGGGGAAGAGAGCCCTGATTTTGCATATTTACAACCCAAATTTGATATGAATTTGGTCTGGCACAGCCCTACTTTAGGAATTGCAGGCTGAACTAGGCTGTAGAACATGATTACAAGAGAAAGCAGGCTGTGAAATCCCAGAACAAGCAAAAGCACATGGGATCCCAAAAATCACAATAGGGAAACTAACTGGGTTACATGGAACATTCTGAAGTTTATAAAAAGGGACAGTAAGATTATCTGATAATTAGTGATCACAAAGAAGTCCCTGGAATTTCAGTGCTTAAAGATTAAGTTCCAAAACTTTAAATTGCACCTGATATTGCATGCTGGTATTTAACTGCCTACCAGTTCTTCAGAACTAGTCTATTTGCAGTAGTCTGTACGATCTCCAAAGACTGAGACATGTGAGGCTTATACAAGTCTTAAAAAGATCTGCAGGTTTTCCAGAGGCACTTGGTTGCTAATTCTTTCTGCATTTCCAGGGCCTTCTGTATATTCAACAATGGAAATGTTTCTGTTCCTTACAAAAAAGTTCATTGATTCTCTAAGCACAAGGGAACAGACCAGCATGCTAATTGATAATGCTTTACATTTTTAAAAATTATATTAGCATTCTGGTTTTGTTCCTTGTTGTAAAGGACAAGTGCATCTTTCTGAAGTGGAGAAACATTCACATTTAAGGCATTGACCTAATTCAGTATGCACCTGGCTTCATGCCAGACTGTGGGGACTTTCCTTGTGTGAGCATGCTTTACTTTAGACATGCCCTTTTCATTCAGCATGCCCTAGACAGACACTGTTTAGCTGCTCATGAAATTCCAGCTGGGAGTTATTTTATTGTTCATAATTTCACCCAGATGCTACAGATATTCACTGTCTTAAGCCTCCTCCACACACATATTTCTCTTCTTGGCAAGTTACACAATGAAAACATAAGGTCCAATCTCATCCCTTGCATATTCTCTTCCTATTCTGAAGTACAGTGCCACTGAGAACAGAATAGCTTGGCATGTTGGATGAACACTGGGTACACCTTTATCTTCTCACTTGCTGAAACCAAACACAAAGCAAGCCGGGCATCTGCTGTTGCAGACAATCTTTGCATAAACCCCAGAGTGAAACACCTCAAACCATACCTTAAGTACACATCACTTCATCTCTGCTTAGACAGTCTGAGGCATAGCCTCAGAAAAGACAAAAGAATTTGTCCAGGGTTTTATTACACAGTTCTAGTTGAGCCAGTACCTAAGTCAGACTTGTCAGCTATTAGGAAGAAAGAGAAAAAAAACTCACAAGAATGAACTGCTGAAGTTCTCATTTTCCATGGAAAACTATTCAAGAATTTCACCCTCTCTACTAAGCAAAAAACCCCATCTTTTTGTTATAATTCTGCCATCTGATATGCTTTCAGCTATGGCTCTGCCTCCCAAACACAAACACATAGGCACTGCTGGATGGGAGAGAAGTTAAAAGGCACTATCAATTTATGTAAAGACAACTTGTATTCAATAAAACCAATAGGAAAGCAAAAATAATCATAAAGTATTTTAGACTTAGCAGTTTCACACTGAATTCTGAAAAACCTGAAAGTTTTGCTTGTACACATTGCAATGCTGCCCAGGGTAAATCAATAACATCAAGAAGATGCAGCAGCTTATTTTCAACTTTTTGAAGTTTAGAGTATGACACACTGTCCCAATTCACCCCAACACCCCCCTTTAGTTGGTCAGCACTGAACCTCAGCTTTGATGCTCATCTTACCTGGTTGACACCAACAGGAATTTTTTAAGCTACCTCTTGATTTTCATCAGTTTCCTTTCCTCTGCCAAAGCCAGCATCCCATGGGGGAAACGGGAACAATGATGACTGTACACTGACCACT